GCGTAGTCGGCCTTCTGGGTCAGGCGGGCGTCTCGCTGCAGCCTGCGGGGAGTGGAGCCTGAGACCCGCGGAGTCGCCGCCCGCCGTCCCCCGTCCGCCTGGCCCGCCCCGCGCTCACCTGCACCAGCAGAGAGCCGCCACGGCGAGGGCGGCCGCGCCGGCTACCGAGCACGCCACGACGAGCACTGCGGGGAGGGGGTGCGGTGAGGGCGGCCTTCGGGGAGGGACCCTGCCTCCTGCCCACCGAGACCGACAGACCTGCACACCTACCGAGGGCGAGTCCGTCACCGCGCCCGCCCCGGGGCTCCAAGGGGGCCACGTGCACTGGCAGAGACGACACGGGGGAGCCCAAGGAGGTGTGGGGCGTGGGCGCAGGGGCTCCCCGAGTGGAGGGGGGCCCCAGCTTGGGGCCCTGGCGGCGCTCTGAGAGCCCCAGGGTGGCTGCTGCAGAGAGAAGGCAGGTTAGAACACTAGGACCAGCTCGGGGGTCAAAAGTGGTAGGGAGGCCCCGGGGGAATGGGCTGGGTCTCACCCGGCTCCAGCTGCCGCTGTCGGGCTCCAGGCTGGGGCTGGGCACTGAGCGGGGAGTGCCGTGGTGGTTCCTGCCGGGCCAGCTCCTGGGCCAGCAGGTCAATCTCATCTTCCAGTCGGGGCCTGGGCAGGCTCTCCCCTGGAGAGGATGAGGGGCCATCAGGTGGGGAGGCCCCCAGCCCCGCCCTGGCAACACCAGCTGCAGGTGGCCCTCCAGAGGAGGTGAGGCCCATCCAGGAGCCAGATCCCCCTGGCCCAGGCCTCCTTCTCCCTCCAGGCCTGCAGTCCCTGGCCATCCTGAGTTGCCTTGGTGACGGCTGAAGGCAGTCCCCGTGAGCAGCAGCTTTCCCAGGAAAGTGGGGGCGGGAGCAAGGGAGTGGAGGTGTCAGGGGAATGCGCAAAGGCCAGGAGGAGAAGGGAAGGGGTGCCCCTCACCCTACCTGTTACCCATGGATCACTCACCCCTTTTCTACCAAGACAGGCAGTGACTCCTTAAGAAGAGGGGAGAGGCCCCATTCTTTCCCCCCCCCACCCCCACCAGGTAATCAGTAGGAACTGAGGGCAGCTGTTGGGACAGGGCTGGTGGCTGGGCACCCCCTCCTTGTCCCTGCCACGGGCCCCACAGTCCAGACAGAGGCTCCAAGTAGACACTCCACACAGCAGGGAAAGAGCAGAGCACCTGCCACCTTCTAAAGCAGGCCTGTACATCTCCTTCTGTGGCCCCCCTCACTGCCAGGAATGTGTTTCTCCTCCAGGAAGGTCCTCCTGCCCCAGCAGACGTCAGCACCCCCAGCATCCCTCTGTAATGCCCCATCACACCTGAGGCCATTCAACATCTGGCTGGCTGTCCAGACATTCTGGGCTCAGATCGCCGGGTGAGCCACACGGATTGCACAGGATGAGTGAGCCATGGAGAAAGAGGGCACACGGGGCAGGGGCCCAGGCAGCCCGGGGCAGGGGGCAGGGGATGGGAACTCTGACTCCTTCTCTCCTGGGATCACCCCAGCATTTCACACTGGACACCCCTTGCCCTGGTAGGGGCTAACTGCCCCACACCTCAGCCCGCTCCCAGGCTCTGGGCTGGCGCTATCTGGAAAGATCACCAGGCCACTCGGAGACATAAAAGTCTCTGGCACACCAATGAAGCTCAGCGGACCCAGGAGCTGAGGCTGAGTGGCAAAAATATCAGGGCAGGGGAGGGGGGGAAGCACATTCTTCTCTCCCGTACCCATAGGCCGGCGCGTCCTGGGCACACAGAGCCCTTGCTGGTCTTCCTGGAAGGGCTGAAGGCAGGGCCCACAGACATGCGCGCCTGGGGGACACCGCGCCCGCCTCTTCAGGGCGCAGTCTAGGCTCCCAGGACAGGCAGCTGCATCTAGGAAGGAAGCAGAAGGCAGAGCCGATCACCGCCCAGCTTGGCCCAGCCCCAGCACAGAGGCGGTACGGTCACTGCCCTGGCCACCCCTCCCCCACAGAGCTGACCCAGTCTGGCCTGGCTCCGGCCATTGTTCTGGGCAGGCCTTTCCTCCCAACAGCCACAGATCAGGACCAGGAAGACAAGCTGTCCCAACACTTATCGGAAATCCCCTGCCCCACCCACTCCCCAGAGTCCACTTTCCAGGCCTGAGCCAGCCCTGTGCGGAAGCTGTCCCTCATTGTCTGGGCAGCACCAGCTCTCCTGGCCAGGGCTGTGCAGCCCTGTAGGTCCTGCCTCCTGTCTCAACAGGCCCCGAGCAAGCCCTGGACCCTCCATCCAGGCTGGAAGCCCTAGAAGGTGGGACCCAGGTCTCTCTCTGCCTCGGGGGCAGCATAAGATGCTGGCCACCCACCTCTCCCACCACCTCAGCGCTGCCCTGCAAGCCCATCCTGTCATCCCACAGCCCTACAGCAGAGCTAGAAGATGGCACAGAACAAGGGAAGACAGTCCCTCCCCCCTGTGTCTGATCTCTGGCTTGTCTCCAGAGCACAGAGAAGCTGCTGAGCTGGGGAGTCCTAGAATGGGGTCAGCAAGTCTCACTTGCTTGAGATACAAAAGCCAGGCCAGGGTCACTCCCGCAGTCACGCTGCCAGGGACTGGGGAGTCCCTGGGACTTTGGGCCAGGCCCAGTCCCTGACTTTGGGCCCAAACTCTGGTGTCCTGTATAGATGGCCAATGGGTCCCATCCTGATGCTGGGGGATGGAAAGCAGTAGCCCTCTATGGGATACAGAAGGTGAGTTGCCTCAAAACTAGGGAATGCTCTCAAGCCCAGGACACTGGCCCCAGTTACAGGGCAGCAGGGCCAGAGGACCCAGGAAGATACCCAGCAGGACTGTCGATCCTGGTTGGGGAGGCTGGGATGGGGTGTCTCTGGAGCACCAGGACTATTCCTCTCCACCTAGCCCCCACCCTACACTGCAGGAGGGCCACTGGGGCCCGAGGTACGTGGGAGATCAGGGAGTGCTGGCTCTGTCCTTCTCCAGACCTTGACTGGCCTGACTTGGTTTCCTTGGTAACCTGATACTCCCAGCCTCCTATCTGTAGGCAGGAAGGTCCAGCAGCCCTTGCAGCAGGCGGGCCGACTCCCATCCAGGGGACCCCCATTCTGTACTACCTGGGCCAACAGGCACCGGTATCAGAGAGCTGGCCTGGGGCGTGGGCTAGTTAAATGTTAAGCCTGGGCCAGCACATCAGTCTGGACCCCAACCACCAGCTGGGGTACCTGGGGAGTCAGGCAGTCCCTGCTGCAGGTGCTGAGCACCCAGAGTGCGCAGGCCAAGGGTAGAGGTCTGAAGCACCAAGCTGGTTCCAGGGTCTGGGTGCCAGAGGCCTCCCTACACTCCCAGTCCCCCAGCCTAGAAAGACAGGGCGGATGCCTGGCTAATCCTGGGGTGCACTCCAGCCTCGGGGCGCAGGAAGAGATCCCAGGAACAGTGGCAGCCGGAGAGTGGCTAGCACCACACCGGCATCTGGGAGAGTTCATAATGCTAATGAGCAGCGGGGATGGCACCTGTCCACCCCAGGGACTCAGCACAGAGGTTACTCTCCATTTCCTCAGGAGGCCCCACCCTGCATGTCTCAGAGCCAGGTTCTCTGCAGGCAGCCTCCATTTTCCTGGGTCAGCCATGCTCCAGCCTCCTGTCCAGGGGCGCTGTGTCCAGGAGGAAGTCTGCCCTGGTGTGGCCTCTTGAGGCCACACACACAGAACCACAAGGCCCAGGTTGGCATCCCAGCTGTGCCATGTACCAGTCACTTAACTTCTTTGTACCTCAGTTTTCTCATCTGTAAAATGGGCTAAGAATAGCATCTCTCCCATGTTGCTGCCAGAAGTGAATGAATGTATGAGCATAGTCTCCCAGTTCAGCCCTGGGGTGGGGGTGCGTTTTGGATCCTGGGTTCCTGCAGACCTTCGCGCCTGGAGCTTCGGTGCCCAACTGGGAAGCAGGGCGGTTCTCCCAGGACCCTGGGCTCCTCAAGCTCTGCCCCTGGCGCATAAGAGGGCCCTCGAGGGCAGCGCCTCCTGCCTCCACTGAAGCCGCAACAAGCCCCTAAGCCTGGGACAATTCAGACTCCCACAGCAGCAAAGCAAGGTTCGTGCCCAACACCACCCGAGGCATGGGGACAGGCAGACCAGCACTGCGACCCCGACCCCAGGACAGACACGAGCAGCATGGCCGGCAGGCACCCGGCGCCAGGCCCGCACCCGCGGAGCCCAAGAAGCGCACACACAGAGACGCGCATAGGACAGATTCCCAGCGGCGGGCGCACCCGGAGAGAACCCTCCTCAGACACAGACACAGACACGCAGCAAGCCCACGGATCCAGAGACAAAGACAAGACGCGCGTGAACTTCAGGTTCGCCGCCAGGAACCCAGGAGAAGCCCCATCGGGCAGAGCCCTTCGGTGGCCGGGGCGCCGCGCCCTCCGGGCCGGACCTGTTTACCCCATCCCGGGCGAGGCGGGGCCTGCGGCCCGGGCGAGGGCGGCGGCGGCGGGGAGGG